AAATAAAAAAGTTCTTAAATATAATTTACACGTGCACAAATATTTGTAAACTGTAAAGTAAAATAATCAATATTGATTAAAATTTGATCAAATTTTACAGATGTAATGTAGCAGATAGAGAAGAAGTCTTTAGAGTAGCGGAGAAAGTAAAAAAAGAAGTAGGTGACGTTACTATCTTGATCAATAATGCCGGTATAGCAATTTTTAAACCATTCTTAAATCAAAGCTTCGATGAAATTTCACGACTCATACACGTCAATATGATGGCACATTACTGGGCAAGTAATATAATCTATCAATGTAGTTCTCTTTTGCTTTGAATATATGATATTGTAACATTGATTAAAATAAGAGACAAGTTTTTATAAGTGCTCTTACGCGCGTTAAGGGGAAAAAATGTATCTTTAAAATAATTTAATATTTTTGAGCGTATATTATCAAAATAATGTGTTATGAATTTGGGTGATATGAATTTGGGAAGATATTTGAGTTCGTTTCTTGTAAGACACATGTTAAAACTTCATAATATATAGAAAATAACCATTAAAGCAACTAAATAACTTTTGGAAACAAATATAACTATACATATATTGCCGCTTGTAATTTGAATATTTCTACAATTTAGACAAGTATAATTAAATTTTTGTAATCTGTTGTTTACAAAGGAATACTATTTTCAGACATTACAAGCATTTTTGCCAAGTATGACAAAAAAAAATCATGGTCATGTTGTGGCAATTTCATCAGTATCAGGACTTTTTGGAGGTCCTTATGGAATAACCTATTGCGCTTCAAAATTTGCAGTCAAAGGTGATTTATCTTATATTTACTTATAATATTATAATACGAATGATACAATATTACAACAACTAAATTTTATAAACAATAATTAATATGTACACACACACACAAACGCACGCACGCACACAAACTCAACAATTTTATAGAACACTTCTCTTTGTGCGCGCACGCGCGCGCGCGCGCGTGTGTGTGTGTGTGTGTGTACTGCATACATACATACATACATTGTACATAATTATATATAATAACATGCTGATAATAAAATATGTACATATAATTATAAAGTACTTGCAGTTCTCTTGCATATTTTCTTATATAATATTTTTATATATGTATTGTAGGAATTATGGAAGCTATATCTGCTGAATTACGTGCATTAAGTGACAGAAAATCACCTATTAAATTCACTACAATTTATCCGACCTTAGTACTTACTGGAATGATTAAAAAGCCAAAACTTAGGTAATAGTTAATGTATAGAATCATACTATTGTAACAAATGTTCTGCAGTATCACATATATATACAGTTAATTTCTTTTAAACGATGAGTGCGGTCCACTTGACGCTACAAATGCTTCAAAGCATTTGATCAACTAATTAGAAAAAAAAATTTTTACTAATTGACCAATCAAAAAATGCTCCGAAAATTTGCAACATCAAGTGGACCGTAGCTGATATTTGATAAAATCAAATTTTTTAGTTTAATATATGTAGTATCGCTCTTTTATAAAAGATTTTTTTATGCGCACACAGAGATAATATATGTTATTGAATTAAATATAAATTGAAAGAAATAAGGGCTCCCAAAAATGAATCAGCAATAATAGAGTAATGCCAATGCAAGCCGACACGGATGTTGACGTGCTTAATAATTTTTATTGGTATATCTAGCCACACATAACTACGCCGCATTTTTGTCGGTTTTAAACACAGTTCTTACACGAAGCCGGAATTAACTATAATGAATTAAATTGACGAGCAGTTTAATATTTTTGGTGCTAATAAACATCTACAAGAATCCACCTCCCCCAAAGTAAAGAAATTTATTCCGAAACCTCAGCCAGGACTCGAACCTAGATCTTCACCCGGCAAATAGGGAGAACTAGATTTGTGTCCTGACTGAGGTGATATTTTTTGCAATAAATTTCCTTAGAACAGTGTTTTAAGACCGACAAAATTGCGACACGTAGTTTGTGTGTGGCTGGATATCGTATTAATAAAAATTATTATACACACTAACATCCGTGTCGGCTCGCATT